TTTAGACTTGACGGGTCAGGTTTCCGCTCCTACGTATCTTCTGTATGCAACAAAAAAATCAAAGCTGCCACGTAATTATTTTGAAAATTAGGTTTTGATGAGTTTCAAAGGTTTCATTTTTTTTTTAAAGCTTGATTTTTACTTTGTTATTATTTTTTATAAATTCACTCATATACAAGGTTCAAGTTAGTACACGACTACTTAATAAACACTTTCGATCCAAGCAATGTTGAATGTGGATCCACCACTCTATCAAAATTACTTGGCTATTGCGTGAATTTAAAAAACCCTTTTTTAGATAAACAAAATTTTCTATTAATATTGAATTTTTTTTGTATACAATAAGGAAATAAATGAGAAATATATAGAACAATAAAAAATAAATACAAGTGCAAACAAAAATAACAAGAAAATAATTCTTGTTTGATTTAGGAATTAGTTTTTTTTTTAGGAATTTGCAAAGAAAGTGAAATTTTTAAGATTTACACAAAAGAATTTTTAGGGTTTGGAAAATTTAGATTTTTATAATTTGCAAAATTGTTAGAATAAAAAAAACATTACTTTTAGGTTCTGTAAAAAAAGAATACTTGGGGTTTTAAAAATTATGTTTAGGGCTTGCACAAAAGACACTTTTGGGTAAAAAATATTTTAGGATTTACAAAAAAGATATTTTATGGTTAGAAAAAAATGTTTAGAGTTTGCAAAAAGAACATTCTTGGGTAGAAAATGTTTTAGGGTTTGCAAAAAAGAATATTTTAAGATTAAAAAGAAAATATTTTAGGATTTGCAAAATGGATATTTTAGGGTGAAAAAGTTTTCCTTTAAGTTTGTAAAAAAAGGATGTTAAGGGTTAAGAGAGGAGCACACAACAATGACAACAAAAAAAGAAAAAGGAAAGAAAAAGAAGAAAAGAAAAAGGGGCTTACTTGTGACAGTTTAGGATTTACAGTGAGATCTTCTCTTCAATCCTCTAGCTTTATTCTCCTCAAGATGTGCTTTTGAGTGCTCTCAGAATGTTGACTTTTTTGGAATGTTGATTATTTACAATCCTCTCCTCTTCTTTTTGTATTGTTGTGTTCTCTTAAATTTTCATTCCTTTTTTTGTTTCCCAAATTCTTTCAGTTTTCCCTCTCTCCTCTTCTCTTTGTTTCTCGTGCTCTCCGAGAGAGTTTGATTCTCTTTATTAGTTTCCCGTAAAAAATAGTGTAAAAGTCTCCACTCTAAAGACATTAGCTTCCTATTTACAGTCACACCTCCTAATTCTAGATTCTATTTAATTTTTTTTTTTTAAAAGTTCAACCTTTCTATTTTTTCGATGGCCACCTCTCACATTTTTCTTAAACATCTCATCAACTTCCCTTAAAATCTACCACTAATCATTTTTTTTCTCCACTAACCTAAATATCTACATATTTAAAATTTAAAATCCTAATCTCTTATAGACCTAAAATTTAAAATCTTATCTAATTTTTATTTTATTTTTATTATTTATATTTTTATTTATTTTTAGATGGGAACAAGATAAAATTAGGTATTCACAATAATGCTTCAGATTAGTAGAGGAACGTGGTGTGAGTTTGTAAGCAAGCGTGGAGTTGACCTAAATGTTTATTTTTACTCTTTTTAGCATAATCCACCTCCTCTTTGGCAACAAGTACACTATCTAACATATTTTTTCCTTGTATAAATGTTAATTATTACTCATTTTATTATGTTATATTTTTAAAATAATAAAAATATTTATTTTTATTTAGTATTTACTTTATAAAATAAAAAGATATTAAAAAGTAAGCAGGTAAATATTTAATCATCTACTTTTATGTTATCCTTGATTGTTGTCTCAAATTTAAGGGTGTGACATTTTAATGTGAGCGTGAAAATGCTACACCATAGGTATGATCGTGAAACATTGTTATTTAGTTCAGCAAATTACGTGTATTTTTCTCCTACAGCTTTTATGCAAACATTCTACATATTTTGTGATCGAATGCAACAATTTTCTTATTGTTCATTGCGGTACTTATTATATTCATATATAGGTAGGAAACTAATCTGAATTACTTGGTTTCCGTGTAATGTACAAAAAGCCAACCTTTTTTTCGGACAAATACAGTTCGTATGATAAAACAATTGTTTTTGCTTAAGACATGCAACTAGTTTGTCTTAAATTTTGTTAGCTTATGCCTTTATATGGGATTTCCATTTGGGATTTGCATGCACTGAAATCCATTACCTTCCATTGAGTTGGGTGCTGGGAATAAGATCGATATGGAAAACTCTCTACAAATAGCTAGACGTGGTACCGGTGCTTACGATGATGATGGACATGCCCAAAGGACAGGTAAACTTCTGTAGGACCATATAATCAATCCATGTTCATATATACTTGAATTTGACTCCTGAATATTAGTCTATTCATCAATTCTTCCAGGAAATTTAAAGAGTAGTGTGGCTCATATTATCAGTGCAGTTATTGGTTCCGGTGTTTTGTCTATTGCATGGAGCATTTCTCAATTAGGATGGATTGGAGGGCCATTTGCCTTACTTTGTTATGCAACTGTCACGTATATTTCTTCATTCCTCTTGTCTGATTGTTACAGAACTACTGATCCTGTCACCGCGAAAAGAAACTACTCTTACACGGATGCTGTTAGAGTTTATCTTGGTAATAACACAATAATTTTTTTCCCATATGCTTGTCTAATCTTTCTAGCTAAACATTTATACCCTTCTCATGAACTACCATTATAATATATTATCTAATTGTATTTAATGTTAGTTCAGGTAATAAAAGGACATGTAGCTGGGTTCCTTCAATTTTTGACCTTGTATGGGACTTGTATCGCTTATGTACTTACAACAGCAACTAGTCTGAGGTACTTCCCCAATTAAATCACTTAAGACCATTTTTTTTTCAAAGGTGATTAGAGAGACTGTCTAATTATTATTATTATTATTATTTTGGTAATAAGCTAATGAAACATGTTTATTGTACTATACAGTGCAATTCTGAAATCAAATTGTTATCACAAGAAAGGACATGAGGCTCCTTGTAATTATGGGGGTAATTTGTATATGGCACTATTCGGACTTGTTCAGATTCTAATGTCATTCATACCGGATCTCCACAACATGGCATGGGTTTCGGTTGTTGCAGCACTTATGTCCTTTACATACTCATTCATTGGACTAGGACTTGGCATAGCCACAGTCATACGTAAGGCTCATTTTTTTTATCAATATTCTCAATTTTATTTTTGTTTTATTAATTTCAAGCCATCTGAATTCTGATAATTAAAGCAAATTGTTGAAGTTTCATATCAGCTATTGATATAGCCAAATAAGGGTCACAGGGTCTAAAGCAATTCTCACTTTACAAGTTAGCATCTGGGGCTTATCAGGTCGAAGTCCAAAATTTAATATGGTATCATTGCCTATTAAAAATCTGATATTGGACCACCCTTGACTAAAAAAGAAAACCATTTTTCCGGTGCTTTTAACCTTGTCTCATGACCTTTTCAATGCAATATAAAAAAATCAGTCCACAATTTTCAAGTTCTAGATGTCAAATCTCGAGCGTTAAGAGTTGTGTTATAACTACGGATATAGCTAAATAAAGGCTTATAGAGGCCAAAACAATTCTCATTTACAAGTTAACTTTTTGGATTGAGTTAGGACAAAGTAAATAATTTAAGACAAATTATGAAGAAAGGACAATATTAGTATCTTAAAATTCATATCATGCTCCTTTATTGGTTCTTAGCACTTTTGTTGCACTTGCAGAAAATGGAAGAATTATGGGGAGTTTGACAGGAATACCAACAGATAAAATTGCTGACAAATTCTGGTTAATCTTCCAAGCACTTGGTGACATTGCCTTTGCCTATCCATACTCCATTATCCTTCTTGAGATACAGGTAGGTACCTTAACATTTCATATTCAAATTGGATGATTAATACAAGGCAGAAAGAAAATAATTTATAGCTGAAACAAGTATTGAATTTTGTTGATTAAAGGACACTCTAGAGTCTCCTCCACCAGAAAATCAGACCATGAAAAAGGCCTCCATGGTAGCAATATTTATTACAACGTTCTTCTACTTATGCTGTGGATGCTTTGGATATGCAGCTTTAGGAAATAATACTCCAGGAAACCTCTTGACGGGGTTTGGATTTTTTGAGCCTTATTGGCTTATTGACTTTGCCAATGCTTGCATCATTCTTCATTTGGTGGGAGGATATCAGGTACTAATAGTGTTTCATATAAATTAACATTCTTTTTTTATACTAAAACCATTCCTTCTGATTGCTCATAAGAACTAATGTCCAATGGATGAAACAACAGTATTCATAAAAAAATCACAATTTCAACGGTGCAAGAGATGCATTAGTAAATAACATTTGAAGGGACATAATTGGAAAATAGTTCCACTGTCATCTGACGTAAACATGTGGTGGTTCACAAAATCCAAGCTATGCTATACTTTTTAATTATTGTTGTGTACAAAAATTTCTTTGGATTTGATTTAATAGTTTAAGCTATACTATGTTTAGATTTTCTATGCCTTTGGTTGTTAGTCTTTAACCTATCCCGAGAAGTATAATAAAGTAAATCTTCAGTATAAAATCAATTGTTCTCAAGACATGGAATCTGATTCGTAAACAAATCCAACAACTACTTGTTTTATATTTATTTCCAAGAAAAAAGAATTTATGCCTAAATTGAGTTCAAATTAAATTAAATATTATATACTCTTCAATGATTCTAAACATGATTAGATCCCTTAAAAAGTGTACAAGTAAAAGTCCCTCTACCATTTATTTAAGTTGAACTAAGTTTACAAAATACTTCAATTCAAATCCAACATAAATTCAGACTTATTTTATACTTTTTTGTTTTACTTCAGAGAATGTTTTTACAGCAATATTTATTCTTTCCTTGTTTTTTCATGTTATCTACCTATCATATTCATATTTCATCTTTATATCCTTCTCATCAGATTTACAGCCAACCAATATATAGTGCTGCTGATAGATGGTGTTCAAGAAAATTCCCAAACAATGGCTTTGTGAATAACTTCTACAAAGTGAAGCTACCTTTGCTACCTGGTTTTCAGCTAAATCTTTGGAGGTTCTGTTTTAGAACAGCCTACGTGATTTCAACAACTGGAGTTGCAATTTTGTTTCCTTACTTCAACCAAGTTCTTGGAGGGTTAGGAGCCGTAAACTTCTGGCCATTGTCTATACATTTCCCAGTAGAGATGTACTTTGTTCAGAAGAAAATTGCACCTTGGAGTAGCAAATGGATTGTTCTAAGAACATTCAGCTTTGCTTGTTTTCTTGTAACACTAATGGGATTGGTGGGATCGATAGAAGGAATCATACGTGCGAAAATTAGCTGAATGGTTTATGCCATTCCCTTGAACAATGCTTACTATGTTAGAGTTTCTAGATTGGTTACATGATCTTTTGTATAATTCAGTTTAAGGTAGACACATGTAGGTTTGGAATCACATTAAAAATATTATAAACATGAATTCAACGCAGAAGTTACAACTATTAGCACTGAAATAATTGTTTTTAATTAGGTCTCCAATTACATTTTTATGAGGAATTTGACCAATACTTTCTTTTAAATACATTTTTCAACACATTTTATCTTGTAATTGGTTAATTTTTTAAAAAGTTAATTTTTTAACAAATTAATTAATTTACCATACTAGTATTTTAACTATTCAAAAAAATCAATCAATCATATGAAATGCATTGTGACTTTTAAAAATAAAAAGTCATTTTCTCTTTTTTTTCATTAATTTATATTTTATTTTTTTCTCTAAATAAACTGAGGACCAAGTTACATATCTCATTACTTATTAGTTTGAAAAATATAATAAATGATATTATAAAAAAGTAAAAAATAAATTAAGAGATTCAAGAAAATTTAAGATTAGAGTAAAACTCTTTTTATATTATATTCTCACTCAACAAGTAAAAGATTATAAATTATAAAAAGATTGACGTTGGTCCGTTAGCAACTAATTGAAAATTATTTAAAAAATTATAAATTTAAATTATTTAAAATATTTTAAATAAATAAATTATTCAACTTTATAATATACAATCGTCTTTAATTTTGAATCAGATACTACTATAAAACCTGCATATATAGACAAATTTACATATGGATTATTAAATCATTACAAATAGATTTTGAAATTACATACGGATTTAGAGATGATATGAAATCGTTTATAATATCTTCATCGACAAATAATTACAGACGGGGATTATACAATTCGTTTGTAACTTACAAGCAGAAATATATGTCTCTAACAAATAGACAGAAAAATTTTTCTGTAACTTCTTTTTGATATATTTTATTATTTTTATTACTTTTTATTTATATACATAGTTATTCTTCGCTGTTCTTGATTATCACAATTTGTAAACATAATGAAAACTACAAAATTATATCTAAAAATTCAGAAATTATTTATAAAATATAAAATTAAAATATCATTACAAATGAAGACATAAACATCCAAATAAATAATGTTAAAAATAAAATACAAGTGTCTATCATGAATAATCGATATAATCATCATCCGAAGAAATATCGCCATCAAGTAGATGAGGAGTCAAAAGAGAAATGACGCATCGAGCTGAAAATCAGTAGTGCATGCATCTGCTGCATTTGAATATGTTGTTGCTGCATCTGTTGTTATACTTCCTTTTGCATCCTCAATGCCACATTCTTCTCTATCTTCTTCTCCATTTTCTTTGCCTACTTCTTCTTTCATACACTTTTTTTTCTCTTCCACATTTTCTCATTTTGCTTTTGGAGTTCTTCATCGAGGGCATGGACCTAAGTGCAAACCATGTCCTCCACTTCTTTATGTGCAAGAGAAAGGGCATTTCTAGGCCCAAATTGGTTGCAAAATAGAGCTTTGCGGCAGTTAGCAGGCCCAGACTCTATTATTAAGCACGAGAGTTCTTCGAACTCATACACAGTTATGCTTACGGCCTTGCACGATCGTGCTCATCTGCGGTATGCCAATGATCCCGTGCTTATCTTGTCTTTCTTGCACGGGATCATTGGCATACTCTTGATGGGACTTGGAGTTTCGAGTTACTATACTTGAAAATCGAGAAATTATCTCTTTCTAATTTGCTTTTCTCTATAGCTTTACTTACAATTGTTTTATTTCTTCTCTTTAGCATGAGTAACTAAGTCTATAATTAGGGTTATGAAAACTATTGTTCATAAATTTATAGGATTTTAAAGTTTGAATTTATATTTAATTTCCATTTGTGATTAGTTTTTATTCCATTGCACATAATTATAATCTTAATTAATTATATCATCAGGTGATCAAACCTCGATTAATTAATGAATCTATTAGATAAAACGAGACAAAGGATTAGGTGGACTAAACCAATCTTTCTCTTTCAATAGTTATTAAATTAACAAGTTCATAAGTGTTTTATGCTTTTTTAATTGATGTCTTGCATGATCATTGGGGATATTAATTTAGAGAAAATAATATTAGTATTGCATCATCATTGGGTATTAATATTATTTGTATGAATGATTAGTGATCACAAGAAAATCAAATTTAGAGTTAAATAAAAAAATAACATAAAAAATTAAATAGTGGTCTGAGATCGTGTATCAACTCACATGTTTTTATCTCTCCTGCAAATGTGTATCTCCTTGAATAGCTCTCTATGCGTAGGTGACATCTTCAATGACTTTTCTACAATTTCAATTAAACCATCATTTCAAATATCAAATTATAGATTGAATAAAATAAATTTTAAAATCACATACCAAGTTTACCTTAGTGCCAACCAAAGTTGTAGAGCCACTAGTATGCATTGATCTTCTCTTATTGGATGCCTTGCTTGTCTTGTTCTTTATAGAGAGATTTTTAAACTGATCCGTACCTAATACTCCTGCAAGGCATAAAGAAAGTTAGGTATTATCCAATCAGCATTAGAGGGGTCCTAATGGGCCTTGGTGTACATCTATCTTAGTTGCTTTGCAGTGCGAATCTTCCAAGTCTTGAAAATCATCTTTTTGTCTTGGAAAAAATGTAAAAGATGCTTTACATAAATACAATTTCATTAGAAAATGACAAACACTAATATCTAATTACACTTAGTTGAAATTAATTAACTATTATTACCTTCCAATCTTTAAACAATTTCATCTTTGTATCCTTAAGTATCTTTACAAAACTTGTGTAAGGCACATCAAACATCTTCTTAATGGTATCCATGACCTAGCAAAGACCTTTCTATGGTGGTATCCAATTGAACACACAACAAAATGAAACAATTATTATAACATTCACATAAAATACACAATGTTAGGCATATTTTGGAGGAAAATTATCAAGTGGACCCATCTCATCTTTTAAAATTTCTAGCAATTTTGATGATGCTTGGGTCTATGATGACAAATGCTCCTTTATAGTTGGAACAACAGTGGATCCCTTGCTTGTGCCATGTGTAGAAGGAGACTGTGTGACCTATGTAGTAAACGAGGTAGAGTGTGAAACTCGTTGTACTTGAGGAGAAGGAGCAACATATCCAGGGTTGGGCAACATGATAACTTGTTCCTGCCCCTAGCATAAATCAAGAACTATATAAACCTAATACAAATATACAATGTTGTATCAACCTTTTTTTTTACATTACATAAATTTATAATGTAAATTTCGACAGAATCTCCCCTAATATATGAATATTTTCTTACGCTTATTTACACCAATACAAAAATCAAAATTTTCACCACACTTAACAATATATTAATCAATGCATAAAAAACATACACATCACAATCTTAAATTATTTTAGAACGCATCCCCTTATAACTCCACAACATGCATATTCTATAATCTTCGTAAACACAAACAATCTTACAACACACAATAATTAAGTTCGGGAAAGAACCTCTACGCCCATCATCCAATCATACAATCTCCAGTCCTATAACTTTATCTTAGAAATTTTAAATCTCTATTATACATCAAAAATTAAAAAACTAAATTGATTAAAAGTTAGAGTATCGTACCAGGAACACAATGATGCAAATTATTTTTCAAATTGATGCTCCAATCATTCGCAAAGGCCAAAAAATTGAAACTCTTAGAGAGAGACAGATACAAGGAGATGAGAGGAGGGAAAATTATGTAAACCGAGGAAGAAGAAGGAAAAGGTGCAAAGTTGATGTGTTTCATACATTACAGACGAGAAAATCATTTGTAAATGGTTGAATGAAATGATGCATTTTACAAGTTCAATTATATATGGATTTATCTGTTTGTAAATCCACCTAAGACAATTATAGATAGAAAAATTCGTCTGTAAATTGCCAGATAAAATGTCTGTAAAAAACAGCCACATTTACAAACAAATTTTTCTGTTTGTAAGTTCTGCTCCAAATTTTCTTCTAATTTTCAAATTACAAGCAAAAGTTTTTGTCTTTAATTTCTGTCTATAATGTTTCGCTCTAAATGATGGACAAAATACAAATGAAAATTACAGACAGATTTTATTCATATGTATTACAGACTAATTTCTCCAAAAATAAAAAATAAAAAATTGGATAATTCATCTATAAATTCATTTATAATATAGAGGGATAAAATCTGTTTATAATTTTTATTTATAAATAGTGTGTTTCTAGTAGTGAGATTCACTTTGAAAATTGAAGAAGAAAAGGTATTGTTCTGAAATAAAAGGATGAAAATCAAAGAAGCTTGGTGCATAATTTGACTACTACAAATGAATAGATAAATAAGTTTTGAGTGATGGATATAAAATAGAATAATACTCTAAATTTGTGAAAATCATAGAACATAAGTTTCAATAGAGATTTTATATATAAATTGAATTAATGATCCGTTTATATGTATTATTAATTTTTTTTAAAGTTGTAATAGGTTAGAGTATTTTTTATATTCTAAATTTATCTTTAATAAAACATGATATTTAGTATTAAAAAAAAAAAAAAAACTTCCAACAAAGATTACGCTAGTCGGTACAAGAAAATGATCGAAATTCGGTTTTTAAAATTCAATTTATCTGAAATTTTTTAATAATTAAAAGAATGGCACAGGATTTAGGGCATAAATTAAAAATAATTTATTATTAGATGTTAAGTTAAAAATAATTTATTATTAAAAGAATGGCACAGAGTTTAGTTCTAATTACTTGGTTTTGTAGAATGCACAAGAGCCAAATCCAACCCTTATTTATTACATTTTTTTTTTATAGGCAAAACAAATCTTATTAAAAAGAGTTCAAGGGGAACTCAAAACCCATATACACAAAAAATTACTAACTCAGAGAAATAAAAAGCAAAAATATACTTATGCAAAATTAAGACAGATGCAATTTCGTGGGTTCAAATACCAATCAGCTAACATAATAGCTTCTCCCTTACTAACAAGTGATAACCATTTCCAGGATCTCAGAATAATAGAATCTAGGACTTCCCTCTCATTCAAAACACCATTGGAAAATTGTTTACGGTGAAAAATG